GGTCGAGTTTCACCGATGACGTCAGGTAATGTTTTCGTAAAAGTACTAATGTCTGATGTGAATCCACTAAAGTTGAATGATTTGTATTGTTCGAAATTTATAAACGTTTCTGGTCAAATATCTGAAGTTACCGATTAATAAGCGTTAATCACAGTTATAGCTTACGAAGTTATTTTTAGCACACCAAGTATAGCAAACCCATAAAAGATACTGTCTTTGACGCGCCGCCTTGGTTATATTTATAGGTGTGGGAAGGTTTTCTAGTAAATTCAGATTAAGTAACAATACAAATTAAAGTATTTACGTACACACAAATATTGTTGATCCTTACTCTCGAGAATCTTCTACAACTTTGGAGAACAGGCGGCAGTTTCGCAATACATATTTAACAGTATAAGTTATTAATGTTTCTAAAATAACAAACGTTGATATTAGAATAAATATATAATAAAAAATTCGTTACAATAGGTATATCATACTTCTTGTATTTAGTTCATAAACAAAATATAAAAAAACAAACGAAAATGGTATCACTTAAGTTTATTTGATTGGAAAAGAAGCGCAGACATTATCTTTTATATTTTATCAGATTGTACAGCAAGAACTAAATTTTCCATGTAAATGATAGGACACATTCAACAAACAGTAGATCCACGATAACAAAGATTGATTATATAAAATATATGTTGTTCTCCATTCTAAGCAAATGTGCACAAACAGAAAATAATAAAAGAAAGTTAATTTTGTATTGCTAGTATGTTGTTTAATCACCAAACTGTTAAATATTATTTTAATAAACAAATAAGTACTTTCCAAGTATTTGATGTAGAATGGAAAGTAATCTATCAAAAGAGTAGGTGACCAGTTTCAGAAACAAACTGTAGATAACATTAGCAGTAACTGTTGAATATATTGACGCTTACGTTTCAGACTCCGTACTGTTGTTGTTTTTAACCAAACTTTCTAATTTCGTAAAATACAGCTACACTTTTTACACTAATTTAGCTGTCACTATTGTTATATGTGAATATCAAACGTTATGTTTTCTGATAATACAGCTACTACAGAGTATGAAGGTACCAGAAACATCAAGTACGATGAAAACCACTTTAACAGCGTAAAATGATAAACCCTACATAGGATAATACTGTTTTATGATAAAACCAAGGTAGGATAATATTGTTTTATGATAAAACCAAGGTAGGATAATATTGTTTTATGATAAAACCTACATAGGATAATATTGTTTTATGATAAAACCAAGGTAGGATAATATTGTTTTATGATAAAGCCTACATAGGATAATATTGTTTTATGATAAAACCTACATAGGATAATATTGTTTTATGATAAAACCTACGTAAGATAATATTGTTTTATGCATTCCGTCACAAAAAGTTAAAAATAAAAGGGAATTATCTTCTTACTCTTAAAGTCAAGAACGTTGCTGGAAGCTCTAACGAGTGTTTTATTGTTGTGATTTTTCTGGACGCTTGGCGCTGGATACTGAACAAGCAGCTAAGATTTCCTTGGACATCTTTAAAGCTGTCACCCTTGCATTTTTCATGATTTGACGTTCGCTACATGCAGATTTTGTTATAGGTTTTTCGTTATGGATGAAACTCCACGTTAAGTGTGTGACGAAAGTTTTCCTTTGATAGGTTTCTCCTGACACCATCTGCTAAAACGCCTCTCTAGCGAGTTTTTATTACTTTAAGGCATGCCGTTTTCCATCTTTTTGGATGTCTCCTTTCGATTAGATTTTGGTGAGAAATATTCACTAGGATCGATGATATGTATGCGAAATTGTTCATGTAATATTTTCTTTGAGGTAACCTCTACATTAGATATTGACATACAAACAAAATAATATTCATAATTGCTAGTAGGTCGTTCATTGTTATTTAATACAAGAGGAAACATACTTCCGTATTTGTATAGCTGTTGATTCAGACGCAGTTTATGACACCAGGAAGAGCAAGCAGTTTTTAAATTATTACGTGCGCTAAGTCTTATGTTATTCGGAATAGTTATTTCAAGTCTAATTGATATGATAGGCTTATGAAAATATTTACCACAGAGTCACTAGGGAGTGGAGGGGGGGGAGGCATGCAAAATGCTTATAATTTGATTCAATATTTCAACAGGCAATATTTACAATATTTTTGCCGACATAGTTTTATTTATACACAACTAGATTTGAAATATTATTGTTTCATATTTTCTTAACACTTTGTAACTTTATATAATATTCTCCAAATAGATAGCACAGTAACATAAAAGTTATAAAATTCGAAACAGACTCTTAAGTGTTGAGAATACGGTATATTTTGA